CCAAAACTATCTTGCTCTTGACCAATGATCAGCTTCCCTTTTCCACGAATCTGTGTATTGAAATCTCTCGTGCCTTTCTGCATTATCCCATCTAGATATATGCGTGCTCTATTCCCAAACCAGTAGTGATAGGTTAGACAAACGTGGTGCCACAGGTTGTCCGTTATATCCACTGAAGTACTCCTATGAAAAATAAACAAAAATCCGCACCGAAAGTACAATTCGTGGATTAAATACTCCAATTTCGAGTTCTGGTTTGCTCTGTGTTAGCCTCATAACCAAGTAACATATTCTTTTGTTTTATTGATAGCACGAGAAAACGCATGGAATTTGAAAAGAAAGACAATAGAATTGATTTGAAATCTCACACTTTTATACTCACAATTACGAATATTTTGCGTACAAATGAGGCTAACACAGAGCATTGGAGAATTCGAAACTGGATTATTCTGCAATTATTTCTTCCTCAGTAAAAAATGGGCTTGATATTATTATTTTTGTATAGTCTATAGAGCAGCGATTTGGTAACAGTCCTTGGTTCGACTGACGTTTTTTGACACCTTTTTCTGATTTGGGTGAAAAAGGGGGAGAAATAGCGCTGGAAAAGGACGGTGGTTTAGTGAGGTCTCTTGGGCTCATTGAGCCTAGCGAACGAGGACATCTTTATATACAGCTTTATATACAGCTAGTAATGATACACTGATTTCAGTTAGTTCGATCTCCTGTATACTCCAAGACAATTGGCAAAGAGCGAATAATGCCAGGAAAGGGAAAGTCTGTTTTGTACTTACCAACTCTTTCGATCCATRAAAACCCGAAGGTTCTTAGGGCGATTCAGCGTCAGTTCATTATCATTGTCAGGCACGGAATAACTAAAAATAGTACTGGCGTCTCTTTTGTCTGCAGTCTTCACCCACACACACACTGTTAATTCGGAAATTTTCGGGAACGTCTTCTTCACCAACACGTAATCCTCTACTGACGCCCGCGATATCTTGATAGCGACGTCTGTATCAACTGAAATCATCATTTTGTTATAATCAAGAACAATAGAAGGATACCCATCTCGTAGCCAGAGACCGCACTTTTGAAAGTCAGCGGTCTTCACAAGCGTAAGAGACCGCTCATATTTGGCCGTGAAGACCCTGGGCTCGATATTGGAATAAGACAAGCAGAAAGAGGAAAAGAGATTAAAATTCTTAATTACTTTCACAATTCTTCCCAACGAATTCATCTTTACATTGACAGGTGTAAGAGCCGATTACATCTTTGCAAACACCGCCATTTTTACAAGGATTTGAAACGCATTCGTCTACATCTGCAAGAAATTCATAGGGAATTAAGTTTGTGTTGAAATCACCAGACTAAAGCTAGAGAGATTTAAGTTTTACTTACTTTTTTCACAGTTCGTTCCATTGAATCCTTTTTTGCATTCGCATTCATAAAAGCCGTCTCTATCATGGCAATTGCCCTCATTTTGACATGGGTTCGAAGCACACTCGTCTATATCTGGAGGACATTATCATACAAGTTTGTTAATATATAGATATCTAAGATTTAAAAAAAATCTTAACCAACAACAATACAGCGCGCGCTCGTGTTATTGTCTACATACGTTTAAATGCGTCAAGCATACAATAGATTATAGATTGATAGTACCTGTGAGGTACTTAGTTAAAGGTATTTCTGTCCAAACTGAAAGTATGGAAGACGATTCGCGCTAACTTTAAGAAATCCTGTGACTCCGTCATGTTTGTGTCTACCCAAGATGGCGCTTCGGCTCGCAAGGTACACCGGTTGGTTGTGATTCTTCAAACTTATAGCTGCAAAGACTATACTTACTGTTCTCACAGTTGTCCCCACTGAAGCCATTTTTGCATTTACAGGAGTAATAGATATCTGTTCGAATGCATGTACCATCGTTTTGGCATGGATTTTTGCCACAAAAATCGATTTCTGGAAGAAATAATCAAAAAACATTTTATCTTGCATTTTTTGGTTCAGTTTAGCCTATTGTGTTTTATTCTCTTCTTGTTCTTTCTTGAATCTTATTAGTTTCATATATTTGGCTTCTAATATAGTTTAGGATATTACGTTTAGATAGATAGATAGGTAGACAGGTAGTTACATGAAATATGATATAAGTGTCCAAAATGATTTACATCAAATTTACATATCATTTAGGACACTTACATCATCATATTTACATCAAATTTTCAACCTTTAAAGCACGGGATTTTTTCCAGTGCAACATTCATTACTACTTACTGTTTTGGCAGTTCTCTCCACCGTATCCAGGTTGACAATCACACCAGTACCCTGCTGCATGTTTACCAATACAAACACCATCGTTTTGACATGGATTGCTAGTGCAATAGTCAGTTCCTGGAAAAAGTAACTTGAAATAACAATTCTTTTCACGTATTGATCATAATAGCAATTTCAGAAAACGCTGAATAACGAAAACTCTACTGTCTGATGCTTCAAAGTGTATTCCATCCTGAATTTAACTACGTTTCTTATCACTTGGATATTCAAGTTTCGCTCCATGCAAGAGAATCCGCAATCCCGAATCCAATAAAAAAATCTTTATAATCTGGAATTTGTATACTGGAATCCCGAATGCAAATATTTGGAATCCAGATTCCAGAAAAAAAAAGTTGAATTCCGAAACATTTATCCGTGATCCAAGAACAAAAATTCTTTAGAAATCGGAAACTCAAACATTGGAATCCGGAATCCAAGGTTTCGTAATCCGGAATCTTCTTGTTCTCTTGGTTCTCTTGCATGGGGCGACAAGTTGTCAACTTACGTTGAGTATTTTTACAGGAATTGGATTCTGTCGAAACTTTGCCCTCCTTGTTACCGGAAATGACGTCACTCCATTCAAGGACATTACCCACTAGGGTCGTCCTACACTTCTTTGACACTTCGTCACTGATCTCCTTTTCAGAAAGAGTTCTGTTCCACATCTCTATCCTATAAAGGTGAAAGACGTCGGTTTCTCTGGAAGGTATACTCCAGGCATCCTCCCAGCCAACCCTGATGTCACCTTTGTCGCCGATGAGGCTACCTTTCCTGAAATCGTTGTCAGATGCCCTCAAAGTTCCATCTAAATATAATTCTATTTTACCATTGCTGCTGGTCCATGTGACGCACAACAGATGCCAGTTAGCATCGTTTATTTTTATCTTAGAATCCCTGAAACAAGATTATACAAATTAAATCACTCTTTATGAATTAGTGAGATTGACAATATAGGCTAATAATTTGTTTACATCTTTACATTAGCATAAGCAAATACGTTTTAACCTAACTATCAGTGAATCAGCACTGAATATTGAAACAACATGAGACAATAAGCTTTCCTCGCAATTTTGAGCTTCTCATATGAAATATTTTTTTGGTAAAAAAGGTATTAAAAACTCCCATTTTTAGAGAGATTATATGATCTAATTAGGGCTTTTGCCACTCAGCATCCTTTGAACGCTAATATCTCATAAACTATTTCATTTAAAGAACTCAAGCTTTCGTAGTTTATAGCTCTTGATAAGCCCCAGCTTTTACGTTATAAACTTATTTTACAGTTTTCTATAATTTAAACTTTATGCTAATTAGCAAAATTTTGTAAACAAAGATCCGCCTATAGGATCTCTGAATTGAAAAGCTAAATTTTCAAAACGAAACGGCAAGGCAAGGCAAACAACTTACCATTTCAAATGTTGTATCCAAAATTGAAGACCATCAAGACTATTCACAAGCAGGATTTCAGGGCTTAAATCACGTGTTACTTCATATTCTACGATAACAGAGCGAGGTCGTCTGTGTCTGTCGAACTTCATCCATAGACACAGCGTCATTGCCTTCATTTCGGGGAGCATTCTATAGACGGTGAGTTTAGAGTTTCCAGAAGGCTCTTTGATGAACTTGACATTAACATTGGTATCGACTAAAATGATACAGTTGAAATGGGTTAAAGAACGTTAAACACGATCGTTGTTATCATCATGCTGGTCCACTTACTGTAAAAAGTCTTACAGGAACTGGGAATCAAAGGAACAACGCCACGCAAGGGACTGGAAACGACGTCACTCCATTGAACCACGTTCCCTCTTGGCGACATTGTGCATTTATCCGACAACATAGAATTGATCTCTCCTTGTGTAAATGCCTTATCCCACATATTAAATCCTGTGATTTCACCAATGAAGTTACGCTGATTCTGGATCATTTGATCTTGGCCAATGAGGAGCTTCCCTCCCTCCGTTAAAAAGGTGTCCCATATGTGACCAAAGCCACTGTAAAATCCATTTACATATAAAATGAGCTTGTCATACGAAGTTCTTGAAAATGTCACACATAATTGATGCCACCGATTGTCTGTTATATCAGATCTGAAGTTACTGAAAATTATGATAAAGACGACAGTTGATTTAATATATATTTTTCCCAAATTAGTTATTATAAAATCATCAATAATTCATAAGGTCAACTCAATGGAAAATCTTGCCGTAACCGCATCTTATAATATAATATCATAATTAATCATGCTACAGCTGTTTGCAATAATTCTGTACTCCTATGCAATATTTCACTATAAACATTGGATCCATTTTTATCCTCCAGTTTCAATAAACAAGGTTAGCATAGCAAGTAAAGTTTGAGGACTGGCTTTTGACTTTTACGTAATCTACTACTATTTATCAAAGCGGTCACGTTATCTCAGACTACGGTTTTTGAAATAGTCGTATATTTCATAGGTACATGCAATACTTACACTCAATATTTCACGAATATTGAAGTGTCTTACATTGATTTTTGAGTAGATATCGCAAATTTTGGTACTTACGTTTTCTGAGTTTTCATATTTATACTAAGACTGCTTGGATTGTAGAGTTTTAATTCGCTAACAGTTCGCTGTCTACCATAACTAACGATAGTAGTGCTAGCACTCTTATCCTGGGTCTTTACCCAAAGACACATCGTGAACGCCTTCAAAGTGGGAAGTTTTCTGTTGACTTCTACGTAATCGTCTTCATAAGCACGTTCGATTTTAATAGCAAAGTCGGTTTTAACTGAAAAAAATGCCAAGATGTTAAAACCAAATTTTAACTGAAGAAAAAAATACCAAATTGTTAAATGCACTCAGTGAGACTCCATGTGGCATTCTGTTATGAACAGAAGTTCAAGATATTTTTTAAATGGATTCAGCACTTGACGGCATGCCCTTAAAGCGTGATTTTACTTAGTCGAATATGGATTTACCAGCTGTAAAGCGTCATTTTATTAATTGAATATGGATTTATCAGTTGTAAAGCGTCATTTTATTAGTTGAGTATGGATTTATCAGCTATAAAGCGTCATTTTATTAGTCGAATATGGATTTATCAGTTGTAAAGCGTCATTTTATTAGTCGAATATGAATGGAGTTGTCAGTTTGTAAAGCGTGATTTTATTAGTCGAATATGGATTTATCGGTTGTGAAGCGTCATTTTGTTAGTCTAATATGTATTTATCAGTTGTAAAGCGTCATTTTATTGGTCGAATATGGATTTATCATGTTCAAATTGAGCTATTCACCCTTCGTCCAACCAGCCCTGGATATCGTTTAATACAACTACTCACTTTTTATACAATTTTTTCCAGTGTACTTCGCTGTGCAGCTACATGTATACGAGTTGACTCCATCGATACACTTTCCACCATTGAAACAAGGCTTCTTCGCACAATCGTCTACATCTGTAAAAAATGTTGTTAGTTCGACCAGATAGCTGCGATAAATGTAGTTAATCTAAACTCCACTCACTGGTTTCGCAGTTTGGTCCAGTGTAACCAAGAACACATTTGCATGTGTAAGAATTGACTCCATCGATGCATTGGCCGCCATTTTGACAAGGCTTATTGGCACATTCGTCTACATCTGTAAGAAATGTTGTTAGCTTGACCCTATAGCTGCGATAAATGTAGTTAAGTAACAATGCGCTTAAGAACTAGGGAACTCTCTATTGTTCTGCGGCATTGCAAGTTCCCCATGTACGAATGTCTTGGTTTTCACACTGATTATGTATTAAGACATTTTTGAAATAAAATGTGGATAAACCCTATTTTGAAACAAAGTATCTTTTGTATTAAAAGCTCTTATCCAATCATAAGCACTCAAAACAATAGCCAAAAGATGCTTCTAATTTGCTATGTTCCCCACGTAGAATTGCCTTAATATTGAAGGTAAAGAAAGCTTTATGAAAGCGAAAGCGGACATTAAATAAAATATTAGAAAAGTCGCTACCTTGTGATATTATAGCAGATTTTCATGTTTTAACCAATGGGATGGATGGATTATACAATGCACAATTAGCACCTTCTTGCATTTCTTACTTCCCTAGTTCCT